GTGGAGTGGCTGGCGGAAACGGAGTTCTGCCGCAAGAAGTCGACTAATATAAAGAGGTCCTTCACAAAAAAAATGAAGGTAAATGTAAACACGTTAATAGAGATAATCAAGGTACTCGCTATGAGAGCGTCACAAGAGGGAGATATTGGTTTTTTTAGAGCAAGGTTTGTGGAAACGCAAAGAGAAATTAACAACCTAAAGGAGGAAAATCAAAATCTTAAGCTCCAAATGGAGGAGATTAGAAGCGGTGCCATTACAAGGAAGAGCCCAATCAGAACTGAGGGACCGGAAGTTGCAGGCCCGTCGGATGGTGCACCCCTGTCACCTGACACTCCGCTGGGGATGGAGATGAACATGAGCATGGACACGGCTACAAGACGATACCCAGAGAGAGAGTCCCGTAACTACCCGAAAAGAGGAACCTCACAGCCCTCTCCAAAAAGGCAGGTAGAACAGATGGGGGACACCTTCTTTGAGAAACTTAGCATGACGATCAGCAATGTCGTGGTGAGCTCACTCAGACCGCTACTTGGCAGTGGAGCGTTGGGAGAGGAGAAGCGTGCGAGAGGCAGAAACGCCGCCGGACAATTCCGAGTACGTGAAGAGGAAGACCGTTCATCATCTATGGTTGCCAAGTCCCAGGCTGTGGAAACTGAGGGCGACGGATACATACAAAGGAAGATGGGAGCCGCAGAGGGCCAGAGAGGACGCGCCCGCCGAACGCGCAAAAAGAGAGATGCCGGTCAAATAGTGGAGAAGAAGACGCCAATGGAGGAGCGCGGAGACCAGATGGAATACCCTTCGCCGCCCGCTATAAAGAACAGCGATGCCCGGCCAGCCCCCGGAAACGTAGGAATTCTACAACGCAAGAGGACGGCGAGAGGAGACGCGGGATCGACGACGAGGGGATCTAGAAGGGCGGCAACGACCCCGCGGATGCGGGCCCCCCGATCGTCGGCAATTACGATTTCCTGTCCTAGCAGAGGTCCGTCGTATTCTGAAGTCATACGTAGGGCCCTAAAAGAAATCGTGCTGGAAGAATTTGGAATTGAGGAAACAAGAATGAGGAACACGATTTCAGGAGGTGTCCTGATCGAAATTCCAGGGACGAATACTTCGCCGGCCGCGGACACCCTGGCAAGGAAATTGAGAGACGCGTTTCAAGAAACTAATATCTTAATTAGAAGACCTACGTTAAGAGGGGAGATAAGGTTAACAGGCCTCGACGCTTCAGTTACGATTGACGAACTAATAGAGGCACTGGCAACGGCCGGGGGGTGTGACCCCACGATTGTTAGGCTGGGCTCTTTTAGGATTGCCAGGAATGGCCAAAGGACGGTATGGCTACAGTGCCCCTTGGCGTCCAGGCTGGCTGATTCTGGCAGAATCGCGTGGGATGGTCCACTGCATTGGTGACATTGCTCAAGAAAAGAGCTTGTTGCAGTGTTTTAAGTGTTTTGCGGTGGGTCATGTGAGAGACAGATGCCCGAGTGGGGTGGACAGTTGTTTTAACTGTAGTGAGCCTGGACACACGGCGAGAGTTTGCGGAAGGCCGTCGTGTTGCCCTTTATGTAAAGAAAAAGGATTACGACATGATCATAGAGCGAGCTCGGAGGTTTGCCCACCGTGCCCCCCTAGAAGGGAACAGCGTGGAAGCCCGCGGGGCATGGAGATCCGGGCCAATCGGAGCGGGGCCGAAGAAACGAGAAAAGGATAGATGGCAAAGAAGATCATCCAAGTGAGCCTGAATAGGTCCTGTGGGGCCCAGAACCTATTGGCCCAAACTATGAGGGGTCGAGAGTGCGGGTTGGGAGACTGCGTATCTGAACCGTACCGAGTCCCCAATGACCAGAGATGGGTGGGCTCGGCGGAACAAACTCCAATGGCTGCGATTATGGTATCAAACCATGGGCAAACGGATGCGGTCATGCCCCTGAAAAGGGGAAGTGGTTTTGTTGTGGCCTCCTGAAGGGGGACTCGTGGTTGCGTCATGCTATTTTTCCCCCAACAAAAGTGTGAATCAGTTTAGGGCTTTTCTAGCGGAGGTTGGCGACGCCGTGATAAATTACAGAAATGGCCCGCTCTTGGTAGTGGGTGACTTCAATGCTAGATCCCACCTCTGGGACAGGCGCTCCACAAGAAGAAGTGACATCATCCTCACATGGGCGTCAACGTTAGATCTGAGGCTGTTAAATGATAATTTCGTACCTACCTGTGTGAGACCGCAGGTCGGTGATCGACTTCACGTGGGCCTCTTCTGCGGCGGGGAGGATGGTCAGAGTATGGGAAGTGGCATCGGAAGAGGAGACCCTTTCCGACCACAAATACATTTTCATACGCCTGGATGGAGGAAGTCCAGGAGGAGCGGGTTTGGCGTTGAGAAACCTCCCAAGATGGAACAGGAAAAGCCTGGATCAGGACTTATTTCGAGCTAGTGTCCTGACGTATTTTTGGACGCGACAGGATATCAATAGAAGAGCCGAAGAACAGGCAAGAAGAATCCAGGAATCGCTAAGAATGGCCTCTGATACGCCCATGAAACGCCACAGATCGGGTTTAAAAAGGGCGATGTTTTGGTGGAATGAAGAAATCGCGTCCCTCAGAAAAAGGTGTAATACGCTGATAATAAGAGTAACTAGAGCTCAAAGAAGGCGCGGGAAAACGGCCCCGGAGTTGGAGGCGGAACTGTCATGCTCCCGCAAAGCACTGAGAACAGCAATAAAGGCGGCAAAGAGCAAGGCGTGGAGTGAGTTACTGGGTATGATCAATCGCGATCCATGGGGCCGTTCCTACAAAGTTGTAATGGGGAAGCTGAGATCAGCTAGCAAACCCATATGCGAGACTCTTCCCTTTGACGAGGTTAAAGCCATAGTGGCGTGATTATTCCCGCACATTGAGGAAGAAATAGCTGAAAGACCTAAATAGGTGGTACTTTGGGACGAGGACTACGCCGTGAACAAGGAAGAGATCGAGAGAGCAGCAACTAAATTGAGATTCAATAAAGCCCCAGATGGTATTGTGGGGGAGGCAGTCAAGTGTGCGGTGTCTGAGTGCGAGGATAGAGTGGCCGATTCACGGCCTGTCTAAAGGAGGGTACTTTCCCTTCGTGCTGGAAGACAGCTAAACTGGTTTTACTTAAAAAGTCGGGCAAGCCAGACCTTATACTGTCCTCATATAGGCCCATTTGTCTATTAGCTGAGATGGGCAAATTGTTCGAACGAATATTAGTCAAAAGGATTAGGACATGTCTCGCCGAGGGGGTTGGATTGTCTGCCCAGCAATTCGGCTTCAGAGCTAAGCACTCCACGGTAGCTGCGACTGCGGGAGATCTTGGAGCCCGTTTATAAGGAGGGTCGATACGCGGTGGCAGTGTCGCTTGATATATCAAATGTCTTTAACTCCCTGGCTTGAAAGAGGATTAGAGGCGACAATAAAGAAGAAATTTCCCAACTATCTACGAGGGATAATACAGGACTATCTTACTAACAGATGGATCTGCTTTGCGGACGATAAAGAGAGGATGAGAAAAATGCGCATGACATGTGGAGTTCCACAGAGTTCTGCCTTCGGATTCGAGGAGTGGAACTTCACATATGACGAAATTCTTCAACAGGACTTCCCGGAGAATAGCAATCATTCTGTGTTATGCAGATGACACTCTGATCGTATCTACTGGCGATAGTCTAAGGGAGGCTATTGCTCGGGTGGAGTTCACGACAGCCATTGTTATCAGGCAAGTGGAGAAGCTGGGATTAAAGATCTTTCCCCAGAAAACGGAAATATGCGCCTTCTCCCGAACGCAAAGATTCGTGCATGAAGAGGTGGCCCTGATTAAAGGAGAATTAACCCCGATCAAGGCGGAGCTTAAATACCTTGGGCTAACTCTGAGTAGAAGATGGAAGTTCAGGGAGCACTTCAAGCAATTGCTGCCTAAGGCGGAGAAAATGTCACTGGCGCTTTCAAGACTCATGCCCAATTTGAGGGTCCCAAATGAGCCAGCGAGAAGACTGTTTTGCGGAGTGGTCCATTCGGTCATTTTTTATGGAGCGCCAGTGTGGGCACCCGCTCTGAAGAGGGACAAAAAATCGGGAAAAGCGATACGGGCGGTTCAGAGAAGAGTGGCCCTTCGCATGATTGCGGCATATAAGACTCTCCTACCCGACGGCTTTTCTTCTAACTAGGGTTATTCCGGTGGAATACCTAGAAGACCGCTATAGGGAAGTGTATTTGAACACGAGGGCTCTTCAAGCGGAGATCAGGATCACACCGCGCATCCATGAAGCGATCAGGGAG